CACACACACACACACACGTACACACACACACACACACACACACACAAGACCTGGTGGACCTCACACCTCTCAGAATGCAAGAATGAAACGATCGATTCACCAAAACATTAAATTACAGATCAAACCAATTACAATCATTTGAATTGAAATATCAGATATAACTTGATAAAAGACTTACGGTAAGGCGGTTTCAATTTTGGATCTACAGATCTAGGTGGCTGTTCATGTGACTGTCAATACAACAAACACACGCGCACATCCTCCTGATGGGTCGTAATCGTTTCCCTGATCTTGTCCTCCTTACCGTAAAGAAAGACACGTAATCAATTTTCATCATTCTTTGTTTTCTTGAAGATGATCATTCCTTCTCATCGCTCTCCAGTTTCTTCAAGAAACCCCTTGGCGATCTTTTGCTCCCTTCTTCTTTTGCGCACCACTGTCCGTTTTCTTTGAGATGGTCATTCCCTCATATGCCTCCCCGTTTCGTTTTTTTTTTTCCTTCGTCTCTGAGCTCAGTGCATGCAGATGTAGATGGAATTAATATCGAATCGAGTACGAAAGACAGTTTGTCCCTGCTCCTCTTGGAAAACCTCAATTTTCTGTTTTATCCCTCGTCCTTCTCCCGCTTGTGCTCTTGAAACTTCTTAGACAATCATTCTCATGGTTTCAATTCCTCCTCTTTTTTTTTCTTTTTTTTCCTTTTTTTTCTTTTTTTTTTTGGTTATTGTTGTTGTTGTTGTCGTTGTTGTTGTTGTTGTTGTTGTTGTTGTTGTTGTTGTTGTTGTTGTCCCTGCGCTTCTCGTTTCTCGCAAAAGGCAGAACAACATGTCAATCAACCACGATCTCCTTTTTAATTTTCGGGTCTCATCCCTCTGCGTACTACTGTCCCTCCCTCCTTTAGCCTTCCTCTTCTGGAAGCGAAAGTGGTGCTAATCAGTCTTTAACTGCGAATCAGTTTTTTCATTCTCTCTGTTTTTCGGCTTACTCACTTATTTACGCACCACGATCTCCTGTGCAATATCCATATCGTTCAAAACATCAGTCACATAAGAAAGAATTATTTCCAGGTCAACCACACAAAAAAACGGTAATTATAAGTTTCCTTCTCAGGGTCTGCCTTGTCATGTCTGCTTTGTCGCTCACGACTCTCTCTCTCTCTCTCTCTCTCTCTCTCTCTCTCACGGTAATTTTAAGTTTCCTTCTCAGCGTCTGCCTTGTCAAGTCTGCTTTATCGCGCATGACTCTCTCTCTCTCTCTCTCTCTCTCTCTCTCTCTCTCTCTCTCTCTCTCTCTCTCTCTCTCTCTCTCTCTCTCTCT